CACACACACACACACACACACACACACACACACACACACACACACACACACACACACACACACACACACACACGCACACACACACACACACAATATATTGTATATTGTATATGTTCAATTTCATTCACTTATTTTATAGTTATTTACCATTTTAAACGTTTATCTTTGATGTTATCCTTAATTGTATTAATCTGTGCTGTCCTGTTTTTCAAATCTTACCCTGTTGCTGTTAAACTACTGAATTTCCCCACGGGATTAATAAAGTTCCATCTTATCTTATATCTCCGACACACACTGAAAACAGCACGAGTCAAACTCAGCGTGTCAGTTCCAAACAAGGTGGGAAATGAGCGGAACAATTATTGTTTGGTTTGCTCCACCAGCCGTTCCTGGAGGTAACAAACCATTTGCAAAACCCCGGTTCTCTTCTGGAAATGTGTTTGTCTGGCTGCACGGTGAAAGCATCTGGTGAATTGGGGAAAGCAGCTGCCACTGTGGCGGAAAGCGACGACGCCTCGCTGTCCCGCTTCCAAGACATCTAACACGACTAACTCCGAGCAGAAGATCGATGGAGGGAAACCAAGGCTCACTGTTGTTGGGAATTATTCACAAATTATTTAATTAAAAAAACTCCATTTGCAAGAATTTCATAAAGCGAAATCATGCCCCAACAACCAGGTGCATATTTTAGATTGCCTTCTCCCTGTGTACTTAACAAAACAACTTTTTACCTCCCAGCTGCTTCAACACCGCCGCTATCTCGTATGGATCTTTTTTCAGAATCGGACAGGAATTTTAAGTGTTTCTGGTCAAATCCACCGCCGAAATTGCCTGAGAATATCCAGAAGGCCTGTGTGTTCTCGTAGATAAATATCAGCTCTTCTCATAGGGGATCACAGTGTTTACAGATTCTGGCTGGGAAACCGAGACGGCTAATAATCAAACCCACCTCAGTGAGAAATATTCTGCAGCTGAACCCTCCCAAAGCCCATGTTCTTCACAGAGAGCATTAATTAGATTAGGCTCTGAAGGCTGCTGAGAATACATGAATCAATTGAATATATATGTGACATATTCCATTCTCTTTAAAGGCTGATGAATGATGGAGGGCTCGCTCGGCTTCTGCTAACAACATATCTGAATGGAAAAGACTGGAGTATAATTGCTTTATTCCATATCTTCAGTATTTCAGTAAAATCCTTTATGTTACATTTTGGTCAAATGCCACGCACTTCTCCCAGATGTGTTCACATGCATTGATTCTACAGGTCATCACAAACACTCTCATAACATCTGCACCGGGGGTCACAAAAATCTGCCCGAGGCTGGGAAACTGACAGCTGCATCCGCACACTGTGATTATACTGCATGGCTGTTTGGAACCGTATATGACAGTGAAAAATAAGCATGACATTTTAATGGTCTCAGTCGGAAACATTCTGGTCACATTCTGCGGTTGTGACAAATATATCTGACGTTAGCATAATGGCTCCCTTCAGAGCAGCCGTCCCGATTCATCTGAAGTCATGTCATGCTGAGCAGGTGAGAAACTGGTTGAAAAAGAGCGAGCAGAGGTTTAACCGCGCTGATCAGCTTGACTTCTATCAGGAAATAATACACGGTTTAAATACCTGTACAAATGTCTGATGCATCACAGATGTGTGAAAAGTTCATGTTATAATCTATAAATCAGCTTAAACTGAATAAGGGTTTAGCCTGTAAAGGTCACCAGCGAATGACAAGCACTCAGCAGTGATTTAGTTTACAAAGTGGGTCGGTGGTGCATTTGGGCTGGAGTGAGCACCTGTTCTGATGCATTTATAGATCTGTTGCTGCGTTGAAAGCGAGTTGACATACATAGCTGAACATTTTTACAACAGGTCAGAACCGCAGACACCAAACAGAGACAGCAAGAAGTGGGATTATAGATAGTGGAACAAGATCTTTTTGGTAAATTGGAGGCTTTCACTTTCCAAATATGTTCAGTAGGGACACTAAAACTGATTTTTGCCAGTATCACCAAAGAAAAACAACTCTTTTGAACACGTCCTTCAGCAAATTCATTGATTTAAATTGTGTAAAACAAAAAAATATGAACCAAAAGCGTACATTTCACTTTCATTAGGACTAGCCAACGAGATAATGGCGCCCTAAAACACCAAATTCGCTCAATAACACCATCAAAATAACCGATCAAGGTAGCAGTAACAAGAAGGTTCTGTGAGGGAAATGAATATGTTTGTCGATGGCGTCTGGTGGTTTTGAAGAGAGCAGAGATAACGGCAAAGCAAATATTCAAATATAGCTTGAACTGATAAACTGATTTTTTTGAAAGGTGTGCCTTTCTCTCAGATGGCTAAAATGTATTTCGCTTCCATCTTAGTACTCCGGTCTGTTATTTCAAAAAAATGTGGCGTCATCTACTACATCATTTAAAACACAGACTGTGGACCTCACACAAGCCCACTTCAAAACAATCTAAATCCCTTAAAGCAAGTTTAAGACAGTGCCTGTACTCTGTCGCTTTTAAGGAACACACTTGTACAGTAGCATGTATAGCTCTAGGTAGCATTGATGATTGTATGTTCTTGCCTGGATCCACACTACAAGTATCAGATTTATGTTTACAGCAGAACCACTGATTCAAATGAGTCAGATGTCAGTCATTAAAAAGGTCTGAATCAAGGCTGTCTGCAGACAAGGAGAACTTTTCGATATTCACTGACTGCCAGCAGGTGTTCTACATTACATTACATTACATTGCATTTAGCTGACGCTTTTGTCCAAAGCGACTTACAATAAGTACATTCGACCAGGAAGACACAACCTTGAAGAAAACAGAATCATATAAGTACATCAGGTTTCATAGAGCCAAACATTTCAAGTGCTACTCAACTGGCTTTAGGTAATCCAGTCCTTTATTAGTATAAAAGTGCTTCGTTAATCGTTCTAACGCTCGAAGTGGAGTCGAAAGACAGATATGACTTGGTTTGACTGCAGATATAATAATAGTTCATCCTTTAACAGTGTTTTCTGTGACTGTTGATAATGTCTTTCCACAGACCCCTCCTCTGCTCTCTTTGATAGAAACAAACAGACTCTGGGTGCAGAATCTGTCGACACGCAGCTTTCGGGAGTGCTGAACACAAACGAGGCATACAACATCGGTGAAATGGTGAGTGAAGCCACAGCTTGGGCTTCTAGATAGTTTGCCGTTATCTGTAATTTGGGCGAGCCATGTCAAACACTTTGAAATAAGTGCAGCATTTGCATGAGCGTACGTGATGTAGCAGCTGCCGTGTAAACGCTCGTGGGACCGATGGAAAGAGTCTGAGCGCAGTTTAGAGTTCACTTCGTGTACTCCAACATTAAAAGGATACTTGGCAGCTTCACTGGTGGACGCCGGAGTGTTGTTTGTCTGCGGGAACTTCTCTTCTGTGGCTTCTTTAAAGGATAAGCGTGTGCTGTTGTAGTTTCTCTACAGCCGTCTGAACTCAGCAGGCTTTTTTTCACTCAGAGAAGTTGAAAGTATTTCAGAATTAGCACTTCAAAAAGAGCATTTCATCAGCAGGACCCGCAGAGAAAAATATGTTCATTATCACAGACTTTTGGGCGAAAAGAAAGTGACGACATTTTCATTTTGAGGAGCGATGGAAGCTATTAAAATCAACAAAATCTACTAAATGGTGCTTTTGAAAGAACCTCCATAACATTCATCTGTTTGCAACTTATATATATCAATGTTCCAATTACTGTATATAGACTATTCTGCACTTTCTATTATATTATATTTTATTGTATTTTAACCCGCCACAACTGTGCTGATCTAGTAAGTTCACTCTGATTTCCGCACATCTTTCGAACCACTTCAGGGTCTTTAACCTCCTGATCAAAGTGTATTGAATGGTTCTGACCTGCACCTTAGCACACACACAGCTACACACACGGATGACAACCCCGCCCCCCTTTGCTGTTTTATTATTATTATTATTATTATTATTTGTATTTATCTTTTCATATGTCTATTTTATTATTATTATCTCTTTTTGTACTTTTTTCTTATGTTGGCTATAGATACAGCTAAATGAAAACGGGATCTGAAATAAAAACTAAGCCTTGAATCTTCGTCCCTACCTGGCATGGCGTGCATCAGGTCTCCTTTTTAACTTTGTAATGCTATTTTATTTCTATTTCTGAAATATTTTGGACTGTTTATTTCTTGTGTCTTAATGTACCTACCTATCTATCCATCCATCCATCCGTCCGTCCGTCTGTCTATCCATCTATCTATCTATCTATCCATCTACCTACCTACCTACCTACCTATCTATCTATCTATCTATCTATCTATCCATCTATCCATCTATCTGTCTGTTTGTCTGTCTATCCATCCATATGTCTACCTACCTACCTATCTATCTATATATCCATCTATCTATCCATCTACCTACCTATCTATCTATCTATCTACCTAGCTATCCATCCATCCATCCGTCCGTCCGTCTGTCTATCCATCTATCTATCCATCCATCCATCCGTCCGTCCGTCTGTCTATCCATCTATCTATCTATCCATCTACCTACCTATCTATCTATCTATCTATCCATATATCTACCTACGTACCTACCTACCTACCTACTTACCTACCTATCTATCTATCTATCTATCTATCTATCCATCTATCCATCCATATATCTACCTACCTATCTATCTATCTATCTATCCATCTATCTATCCATATATCTACCTACCTATCTATCTATCTATCTATCTATCTATCTATCTATCCATCTATCTATCCATCTACCTACCTATCTATCTACCTATCTATCCATCCATCCGTCTGTCTGTCTGTTTGTCTGTCTATCCATCCATCTATCTATCTATTTATCCACCTACATATCTATTTACCTACCTACCTATCTATCCATCTATCTATCTATCTATCTATAAATGACAATAAAAGCCTTGAATCTTGAGTCTTGGATCTTGGTCCCTACCTGGCATGGCGTGCACCAGGTCTCCACACAGCACCATGAACCTGGGTCTGGGTCTCAGCTGGTTCACAGCCTCCACCGCCCGCCTGATGAGCTCCACCTCCTCCGCCCACTCGTCCCCTCCTCCCTCACAGTCGCCCTCCTTCCAGGCCTTCATCAGCCCCAGCTGGGGGTCCGCCGCCTGGATGAAGAAAAAAGGGCCGGTCCACTTGCTCTCTGCATCTGGAAAACAAGGATAAAAAGGAAAGAGGGTTAAAGCTGCACGATAAATTAAAGGTCCCCTATTATACTGTCTTTCATCAATATATTATAGGTCTCAGATATATACAGAACCTGTCTCTGATTGGCTGAAACACCAAACAGATCATTGCAGCATTACCCATAATCCCCTCTGTTTCAGCCCTGTTTCCAAAGTGCTGATTCTCTGTCTGTTACTTTAGATGAAAATAAGGAGCAGGGGACACATGTTGATGTAGAAGAGACATGAAGAAGAGGGGACACATGTTGATGTAGAAGAGACATGAAGAAGAGGGGACACATGTTGATGTAGAAGAGACATGAAGAAGAGGGGACACATGCTGATGTAGAAGAGACATGAAGAAGAGGGGACACATGTTGATGTAGAAGAGACATGAAGAAGAGGGGACACATGCTGATGTAGAAGAGACATGAAGAAGAGGGGACACATGTTGATGTGGAAGAGACATGAAGAAGAGGGGACACATGTTGATGTAGAAGAGACATGAAGAAGAGGGGACATATGTTGATGTAGAAGAGACATGAAGAAGAGGGGACACATGTTGATGTAGAAGAGACATGAAGAAGAGGGGACACATGTTGATGTAGAAGAGACATGAAGAAGAGGGGACACATGTTGATGTAGAAGAGACATGAAGAAGAGGGGACACATGTTGATGTAGAAGAGACATGAAGAAGAGGAGATACATGTTGATGTAGAAGAGACATGAAGAAGAGGGGACACATGTTGATGTAGAAGAGACACGAAGAAGAGGGGACACATGTTGATGTAGAAGAGACATGGAGAAGAGGGGACACATGTTGATGTAGAGGAGACATGGAGAAGAGGGGACACATGTTGATAGAAGAGACATGAAGAAGAGGGGACACATGTTGATGTAGAAGAGACGTGAAGAAGAGGGGACACATGTTGATGTAGAAGAGACATGAAGAAGAGGGGACACATGTTGATGTAGAAGAGACATGAAGAAGAGGGGACACATGTTGATGTAGAAGAGACATGAAGAAGAGGATTTTTAAGATAATACAATCGGAAATGCAAAATGGTAGTGCTGGTTGTGTTTTTGCACCATAAAGTACTTCAACGAATAATCGATTATCAAATGATAGGACAATTCTATTGAACAACTAAACCATTATTTAACTTAATGTTGTAAATGACTAAATGAAGGAGTAAATTAAAGTCGACTAGGATCGCACAATTAAGCTACATCTTTATCTAAATAGCAATATGGACATGTGCAATATTCAAATAGCAGGAAGCACAATATCTGTTAATACACATTATAATTATAATAGCAGCACTTTTGAAGCTTTCTGTAGTTGAAGAAACATAAAAGCTTTAACGATTATGTGTCATCACATTTTTATTCCGCCGTTTAAGGCCTGCTTTGAAAGCTTAATTGAAAAAGCAGTATGTTCATTCTTGGAATAAACACAACACTTGAGTGGAAAGGGCTTAAGACTGAGTGAGAGAGTGGGGGGGGGGGATATAATGTACAGCCTCACTTAAAGCGTGTGCAACGTTAAATAACGAGCAAACAGCTACATGTTGGTGCACGAACGGAGGGAACAGGTGGTTCTTATATCGCGTATTTAATCCCTCTCACGTAGAAGGAGGATCTGCATGTTTGACGGAAGTAGACACTCCACTGATGGTAATAACAAGGTCTGAGGAGGGAAGGACACGTGAGAGGGCCCGGCGTAGGGATATGGAAATGGTGTCCCCTTGTTGCCCGCAAGTGGACAGATGCAAGGAGCAGGTGTAAACAGTTTGTGCTCCACTCGGTTCCTTTCCGGAGGAAGTGAAGGCAGCGCTGGAGTCTGCACTCACACTCAGCGGGGATTACTAACTACTCCGCGTCCTCTGTGTGTCTCTCTCCCTAATGAGTATATGATAAATCCGTCCTCCAGAGAAACTTCAACAAAGATAGGAAAGTTCTGGCTTAACAACGATCCCCTCGGTGTGGCTGGCACTCGGGAAACGCTTTCTTCTTTGTGATTATCGTCGTTATCTCTTCAACTAAATGACTTCACATTGCCTTCAGTCCAAACTAGCCTGAGCTTGATCTAAACTAATGACGACACAGTGAGGAGCGCTGCTGAAATCTCATTTGAAATGCAGAAACAGTCACTATAGTGGAGACTTTCCGGCTTCCTCTTAGTAGTCAATCTTTACGTCTTCGGAGAATGGAGACCAGAACGAAAACTCTCATTAGCATATCTTCAACTCTTGCAGTGTCTCTTAACTCAAGTGTATATTTAAATACTTTAAAAAAACACACAGCGGTAAAATTCAAAATCACACGGGCACGTATGTGTGTGCACAAGTAGACACATTCAAATAGGGTTATATCATTGAGCCGATGCTTTTGTCCAAAAAGACTCACGTACACGTCAATACCGTAGACTTCTTGGAGTGATTCAGGGCTAAGTATCTTTCCCAAGAAGACGTTGACTGCACTTTGATCCAGTTGGAAGAAAACATTAATAATCTACAACTCTTTTGATGATTGATTATTCGTAAAAGTGCAGTTTTTGTGCAGAACATTTTAAAGTATTTTGCCCAAGGACACTTTGTCAGGATGGAATCATTGACCCTTTGATTGGTAGACACTAAGGCTGCACAATTAAGAATAGATAACTCATTTGATTGATCATTTTGTAATCGAAACTCATTACCATTGGAAGATATATGAAATAATTACGGTCTGATTTTTAAGAGGATCTGTAACAAACAGATCTATTATGTCTGTAGAACAGGATGTTGTGGTCGGGTTATCTCTGCAGCTCCATGGTATTTCATTCAGAATTGTATTTTAACAATATATTTAGCCCTTGACAAATACTGTGTTTCCTGCTAATTGAATATTGCAATATTCCAATTTAGAAATAAAAAGATGAAGTGTGTGGACCTAATGGACGTCTAGTTACTCCTTGAGTCAGTTGCAACAATTAGTTAAATAATCGAAAAGTTCATTGATAGAATTGGCAACGAATTTGATAAATGATTATTGTTTGAGTACTTTTTGATGCAAAGATGGAACCAAGAAAGAGATGTTTTCAGCGTCTTAAATATTTCCTTTTTATTGATATGTTATCATATTTAGCGAAATGTCTTTAGGTTTGAGACTGACAGAAAAAGACATTTAAAGACATCACTTTGGACAGAAGAACTGAGATGTACATTTCTGACTATTTTTGACAATTATTTTTGATTTATAGACCAAAGGATAAATCAGTTATTCAAAAAAGAAACTGTCAGTACAATATTTCAATAAAGTAAAGCAAAAGTCAGCTTTTGAATTTGTTGTTGGGGCAGGCTAAAATGGCCATCTACTCAGCAGGAGGAATGAAGTTGCGGAGTCATTGGATACCGATGCAGTTTTGATTTTCAAGCGGGTGGTAAAAGCAAGACTGAAAACGGACAGTTACTTTTGCTTAACCAAAAATGTGGGAGAATTTGAGACCATAGAAATGCTTTGTGTTCTGTGGAGAATGATGATCTTATTTTCAGTCATTTTCTGAACTGACAATGTGTGTCAATGTGTCTGCTTGGTTATTTGCTTTGTGAATAAAAGTGGTTTGAAAAATCAAAAGAAAATCTCTCTCTCTCTCTCAAACAGAAATCGCACAGATTTCTCAGGTGGCCGATTGTGCGCTCCAAATAATAAAATACTAACATTTCAATGTCTTCCTTCGGGTTCCCTTACACACCAGCTGGTTTTCTGCAAAGGTACAAAAGAACCAGACGGATGACTGAGCATGTGATGGGGATGAACCCTTAAATGACCTGACTGCAGGACAGAAACACTCTATTGTCACATTCTGACTCATTTCATCTACATTTGAAGGAAGAAGTCGTCAAATGTTTCACTTCTCTGTAATAAGACTAATTCCACAGAATAGAAGTAGTCCTGCATTTGAAATTCTGCTGAAGTAACTTCACAAAAGTATTTGCATCCAAATAAAATTAAAGGTGGGTATGTAATTCACTTCAGAAACACTTGTTATATTCCATGGAATGCTCTTAACATCCCGATAGCAATGAATATCTTAAATGCTTTGACAATAAATACATAAAACATGTCATCTGTGGAAGCCGTGGCGCTGTAAAAAGCACGACCAATCATCTGAGCCGGCTAACGTAACTGGATGGCCTACCTGCCTGTCAGCCTTCCATCTGGGCACAAACTTATCTCGTGCCCTCATTGGTCATGTGCGCGTTCGTGTGTTGGAGGAGGGGCTCTGTCAGGAAGTCTGAAGGAAGGGACAGATTTGTTTCGGCTGCATACTTTAAAATTCTAGCGCACTCGAGCTGGTTCTTACCTACCCTACCATTTTCTTAAGTATGCAAAGTATTTTTAAAATATGCAATTTCAGAATCATTCATATATTATATTAGTGTATTTTAATTATTGATGCATTATTTTGAGAAACATTAATTAAAAAATAGTATTTGAAAGAATATTAAAGGTAATAGTACTCATAATGCAGAATGGATAACTTCTGATAGGATTCATCCTTACAGCATTAATGTGTTAGTCACTTGTTGCTGCTTATGGTAAAGAAGGAACTCTTTAACATCTTGGTAGCTTCATCTCGAATAATAAATCATCATTTATTAGTTGCATTAAAAACAAGCCAAGGACTTTTATATTTACTTTCAAAATGACATGTTGAAAATATAAACTCAGTAAATAAAAGTGCCTGCAAGTTGTACTAAAGTAGTGTGAGGAAATGTACTTAGTTACTTCCCACCAATGTTTGCTGGATGGTTTAATCTAAAAATAATACACAATGTTAAGTTGATTTTATTTTTGCATTATTCATCGGAATATGTAAAGCAAGTTTATTTCACAAATAAATGAAGTGAAGTCAAAAGTAGCCTACGACATTTCCCTCTGAGAGGTAACTGTAGAAGAAGAACTATAAGGTAGAAAAATACAAGATATATATATATATATATCTTGTATTTTATATATATATATATATAATACCTAGTACTACCTGAGACGTGTACTAATACGAGGGGGCAGTGACAATAATGTAAAGTCATACGAGAGCTCCTTTTCAGAAATGCAAAAAGTCGCAGCAACATGAAAGTTCCTCATCAGAGACCAACATGGTTCAAAGTTACGTTAGTGGACAAAAGGCTCTTTAAACTCACTGACAGGAAATTACAACCGACTTTAGCCACAATACCTAACAACAACAACAACAACAACAATGGAGGACAGCTGTTCTGCATTAATTCATTAACGCTTCTGAAACACAGCATAACAAACTCTTTATTTCGTAAACACAAGCTAGCAGCTAGCCTCCGTATGGCTGACCACTGGTAATTACAAATACACTATGCTACACACAAGTTGTAGAGTGATTTATGTGTGCTCTGTCAGATCATTTACATACAGACAACAACACTCAGAGAGGGCATTAGTAGCTCATTAGCTTGTGAGTTAGCTACCCGGTTGCTAAATAAGCTACCTTCAGTTAGTCCGCTGAAAGTCCGATGTTTAGCTCTCAGAAAGATATCCTCACTGTCCGCCATGTTGAAGAAAAGTCCCAAGAAACTTATTTGTGACTTATCAGGGAACTTCCGAGGAGATTTGTCGGGTGTTTTCTAGCTGTCTGTGCCGCTCTGTTGTGATTATGAATCTATCGGGGATCGACTACAATGCCTGGTCCATCCTGAGTGTGTGTGGCTTTCCCCCGTGTGGCTGCACCCTGTACTCAAAGCTGGTACTTTGGTAAAATTTGAAATATTACAGTGTAAAAATACTCTGTTACAAGTTAAAGTCCTGCATTTAAAATCTTACTTATGTAAAAGTACAAAAGCATTCTCATCAAAATGTATTTAAAGTCATAATCACTAAGAACTACATATGAAATAACTGGATTATTTTATTGATGCATTAAACTGTCACTGCTGTTAAAGGTGGAGCTACTTTTAACAACTTTATATACTGCTGCTGGATATATAAACCTGTAATTATACATCAAAATGTATGTATTCTTTTATTTAGATTATGTTTGAGCTAATAATCTGAATCTGTAAACAAATAAGTTACTACATTTGTCAAATAAATGCAGTGGAGTAAAAAGTACAATATTGGCTTTCGAAAAGTAGTGGAGTGGAAGTATAAAGTAGCATAAAATAAAAATACTACCCCAAAATAGTACTTACAATACTTGAGTAAATGTACTTGACTATAACAGCAGGTACAGCCTAACGATTAAGTATAGATTATAACGTTCATTTTCTCAAGTATGTATACTGCTTTTGTCTAATTCTCTTCAGGTTTTGGATGTAATTAGATGACATTAAACACCTGTAGTCCAGAAAATGTGCACTTCTTGATAAAAACTCACCCCCAGCCCGAAAAAGTTGACAAAAAGGAGGCACCATGGACAGAGGTATTAATACAATTCAACCTGATCCCCCCACTCTCTTTTTATCTGAAGAAACTACTCATCTGGTAGCTTTACTGTTAAATAAAATGTTAGAATGAAAGTTAAAAGTCCACCTTTAATGACTCCAGTAGGCTCAAAAACCATCAGACGTGCTTTAGAGGTTTGCTTTTTAACCACTAAAGGTCCCATGTCATGGCCATTTCTACTGATCATAATTCCATTGTTGAGGTCTACTAAAATACATTTATATTGTGCAATTTTCCAAACTCACATTGGTTTCTCATACAGCATCTCTGTGTATTCACTCTCTGTCCTACACGGCTTGTTGGAGCTCCTGCCCCCCCCCCCCCCCCCCTCTGTGAGCCCAGTGGCCTTCTGTGAGATACACAGCGACACACACACACACACCCGCAGCCTGGCTGGGAGTTTATGTGTGTGCTTTCACACACCGACTCACAGCCTCGCCGGGTCCCGCCGTCTCAGGGAGGAGAAATCGGCGGAGCTGCAGCTGAGAAAAGATTGTGTGTGTGTGTGTGTGTGTGTGTGTGTGTGTGTGTGTGTGTGTGTGTGTGTGTGTGTGTGTGTGTGTGTGTGTGTGTGTGTGTGTGTGTGTGTGTGTGTGTGTGTGTGAGGAAGTAACGTAACTGCTCCACGGATTGGTCCATTTGGACCAATGGGTCCATTTGGGTATGGGCACGTCACTGTACCCAGGAAGACAAAGATAAATCTCCAACGAGGCGTTCTGGGGCAGCAGAGACAGGTCTTCTCTGTGTTAGAGTTGTACTCGCTACAGGGTGTACTTTGAGGTTTGTGACTCTGCAGACCGTTTACATGCAGACAAAGCTATAACACACAAGGGGACGGGTAATAACCGGAAAAGCATGACATGGGCCCTTTACATTAAAAACCGGCCACTTCACGTTGTCAAAAAATATTTCTATTCTATCCATCTGAAACTAAAGCACCTCTTTTCAGGATCTCTTTGATCACAATGCACCTGTTGGACCAAAAGAGACAACAAAGAAATCAACTGCACTTGAAAAATGTGAAATAAAATAAACTATTGCAATGACTGATACCATTTTTATTCAGTAAGGGACATTTTCAAAACAGACAGAATTTAAGATTGAGGCTCTCTCTCTGTTTACGCTGTATGTCCATGAGGATTTAAGCATCTTCTGTGTGTTTCGGTTGTGATACATTTAAACCAAGGAGCTGATTCTCATGAGCACCACTTCTTAAGAACCCTTTCTGTTTCTTAGAAGGTCCCCAGGGATCCTGTGGGCATTGCCTCCTGCTGGACCACTTCTTTGTTCAGGGGCTATTTTTCCAAATGTATATCCCCTGCTTAAGCTGCTGTGCCAGACACTGCCTATTGTGGAACATTATTGTTATTTAAGAATTTCCAAAACAATGGCAACCTACGACAGAGAATGAATAAAGTGTGGGGGGGGGGACGACGCTCCCACGCCTTTTCCTCGACGACAAAACCGGACAGTGATTTGCGTATTCCGGGGCTTTTATTGTAATATTTCACAAAAAGAAAATGCTCTCTCTCTTCCTCATCCCTCGCAGTCTCACTCCCTCCCCATGCGTCCTCCTCCTCTCCTTTTGCGCACCAGGCTCTCCCACCCTCGCCTCTTCTCTTCTCTCACTGCGCTCTCAGCGTCGGTGCAGCTTGTGTCTCTGCCTACTCCTGTGCGTAAGAGCGCACCGATGGATATGTAAAGTGATGCACTCCTGAAAAATCCGAGACTGCAAGTGCGTTTCTGAGACAGATGGAGAGATAAATACATTTCCGCGGAGGTTGTTTTTCATTCTGCGCGTTTCTTTTGGATGCATAAAGATGTTGATCGGCGCGGATGACGGTGCGTCGCTATTTGGATGTGTGTTTCTGGACTTTTTTCTAGCGTATCATGACCGTGCGCCCCTTTTCCTCTCTCCAAGTCTTTTCGTTTGAAGTTGAACGGAGGAGAGGGCACCATGAGAGGGAAATACTTTCTTCTCGGCTTCTTGTTGCTCAAACTTATGGCTCTGGTGTGCAAGGCTGACGGGGAGCCGGGACTGCTCGGAGGATTCGTCATGATCGCCACCTCCAACGGCTCAAGGGAGGAGGAGAGCGTGTCCGAGGAGACCCCGCACACGGAGGACAGGTGCCGGGGTTACTACGACGTGATGGGCCAGTGGGACCCGCCGTTTGTCTGCAAAACGGGCAACTACCTGTTCTGCTGCGGCACCTGTGGCTTCCGCTTCTGCTGCTCCTACAAACACTCGCGGCTGGACCAGAGCACCTGTAAGAATTACGACACTCCGATGTGGATGAAGACCGGACAGACTCCCTACAAAAAGATCAACAAGCTGATCGACACCACCAAAGACAAGACGAACTTAATCGTTTATATCATATGTGGAGTAGTGGCCATCATGGCTCTTGTGGGGATTTTCACCAAACTGGGGCTGGAAAAGGCGCACAGGCCTCAGAGAGAGAACATGTCCAGGTGAGTCTCCCCCCTCTCTCATTCCTTCCCTTTTTCTCTCACCCTCTCCTCAGTGCGCTTGTTTACAAAAGGACTCGCAGTAGTAGCCTACGCACGCACTGATGTGAAGTGCTCTTTTCTTCATCTGTGCACAACACAAGTATATTTATATATATCAATGGTCCTGCTTGTAATGTATTAGGCATATTATCTTTCACACAGGCTCTGGTTTCTTGGCAACCAGAGCAACTCTTCATATGGGAGACAAAGTGCTGCATGCTCTGTCCACTCCATCCATCCTTTGTGGTGTATGGCACTATATTACGTGCAGCTACTCTCCCCTTCAGGCGGGGGCGGGTGCATTTCACTAGAATAAGGCAGCATTTGCACTCCGTTGTATATAATGAAGGAGATACAATGCGTTCACACACCTTCATAGTGGAATCTAGTAGGCACAGCACACTTTCATCAGGTAATCACATGTATTTCCAATTGGCTGCACCTTACAGATTCAATACAATGGGTTGGTTGTGACTCTGGGGGGTGAATCGGAGTCTAATCAAAGGCTTGGTGGTTCGATACCCTTCCCCTCCAGATGAAGTATCCTTAAGCAAGATACTTAACCACCAACATCGCTCCTGTAGGCAAATTGTATCAATCAAATGTTATTCAAAGCCTGATATCACAAATGACAAGTCTCAGGTGGCTTTACAGTGAGTACAGCATCTGTCCTTTGACCCTGGGACCTATAGACTACTACTAAATACCTTTAATCAACGGGGGTAAAAAATGGAAGAAAGGTTAGGGAGAGCAACATGTCTACGCTATATGAGGTAATCACATGCATTTACAATTGGCTGCATCTAACAAGTCCATTGAAAAGGGGTGAATGTCACTCAGGGAGTCAACCAATCTCTTCAGTCAACATGTTGAAGTGTCCTTAAGAAGGATACTTAACACAAAATTGCTCATTTGATTTGATCAATCAAACATTATTTGTATAACCCATATCACACGTTATACACATCTCAGGGGGCTTTACAGTGTGTACAGCATCTGCCATCAACCCTACACTACCAAAGAAACCCCACAATTAACATGGACAAATTGTACTGTAATATTGAAGTGTTCAGTATGAACAGGGATGGGAGGGTTACTTTAAGAATGTAATCAGTAATTTAATCTGAGTATCAAAATATAAAAGTAATGCAACTTTCCGTTACCTCAATATCAAATGCAATTCAAATCAATAAAAGAGAAAATAAATAACAACAAGATGTCTTAAATGTATATCATGTAAAACAACAGGACAATGTGATTTGTATCCTGGTGCTTAATCCCATTACATGTAATCCGTTACTCCCCAAACCTGGCGCTCAATGACGTAAGGAAACGATTCTGTGCAGCAGTTTCAATTAAGGATGTTATTTACAGCTTCTCATGTCCCGTCCCGTCCCCCCCCCCCCCCCCATCTCTCTGCAGGGCCGTGGCCAGTGTGCTGCAGGGCGGGTGTCCAGGTGAGCCGTATCGCGGGGAGGAGGCCCTCGGGATGCATTCACAGCACTTTGTTTCCAGGGCCACAAACCTCCGTGAGTGTTTTTAATGTTTTGGACAGCTCATTACAGCATACAGAGGTGTGGGTGGGGTGTGTGTGTGTGTGTGTGTGTGTGTGTGTGTGTGTGTGTGTGTGTGTGTGTGTGTGTGGTGTGTGTGTGTGTGTGTGTGTGTGTGTGTGTCAGCAGAAAAAAGCTGCTTGAATGGGTTCAGGTTGGCCCTG